TAGACGATTCAAGTTTATTTTTGAACGTACTGGACGCCATGTTAATCGCTCGTAGCACATTATGCCAATTGCCCATGACGGCTGCTACCGCTGCACAAAAGTAAGCAAAAAGTCCTTGCGTCCATCAACGTTAGATAGAGGCTATGAGCCGTACCCTCAGTCCCATCAGACAGAGTCGTCAATTTCTGCTCCAGGGCCTCCATTTGATTGGACACTGCAGCACTGAGGTCCCGAAGCTCTCTCAAGCTCTGTAATTCGGCTTTCTTTTCTTCGATTCGGGCAAGCAAGGCTGGCGACTGTGAAGCAGACGATGTGGAGCTACTGGGGGCTCGCATTTGCGACGAAAGCGACCTTGTAGGATATGACATAATGTGCGTGCCTGTGTGCTGGCTGCAAACTATTTGATCAAGCACAAATGCTATCGTGACATTCAGATCTTGTTCCCCCCACGCTTCTTCAGTCTTCTTCAGTCTGCATCCCAAACGGGTTGGTGGGGCTTCACCCACTCACGTGCGTTGCCGCCAGTAACCCAGCAACCAGCTGTGGGCCTCGCATTGATTTGTTGCCAGACCGGCCCAAAATGTAAATATGAATGACAACACCAGAAATCCTGGGAGCTGGCCGCCACGGTAGACCGATTAACACAATAACTCACTCTACAGCACCTCCAACTTCCATTGCTCCCTGGCATCGACAATCCCAGATCCGCTCGAAGATATAAGCCAAACTCTTTCCATACGCACAGGGCATCGCACATTATGAGCTATGGCGAGGCTCAACGAAGCACCAATGTCTTCGGACACCCTCGAAACGCGTGCGTACAATGCCATTTGCCACTCCATCTTCTGTCTCAATGTTTACTTGGGTACTGACGAAATACTGCAATAGTTCGCAAGAAGATGTTACGGCAGAATCGGGATCTTGCAAAATCAAACAATGTACGCGCTTTGCGGATCAGAGAATTGGAAAGTGAATGCGCCCTCATGCTTTCCGAGAACTTGGAGCTTCGAAGTCGCATCCTGGAACTCGAGAAGCAGGTCGAAGACAATGAGGCGAGACGGATCGCAGATCATGCGCTGGCAATCAAGGCCAAGCTGGAATCGCAACTAACGGAATGGGGGACGCTCTTGTCCGGGTTGGGCTTGGAACCCCCTATGAAAAGACATTCTCCTCGAATTCGGAAATCTATCAAACAACGCATGAGCTACATTGCAGGTAGACCTAGCCCTTCTCAACGAAGATTGCGCGATGTTGCAAGGGATATCGAAGAGCTGGGCCACATATCTGAAAACAGGTCATCTTCACGGCAATCCCTGAAGTAGGTTATTGTTCCGAACCAGCACTTGGGTATAAACGCTAATAAGGTGCATCATAGCCCTGAACAAATCCGAGCTCTGAGATCTGAGGCCGACTCTGCCGAACTAGAGGCTCCCGCCAAACAACCACATATTGAACAAGAGCCCACAAAAGTCGACTCTCCTCCACGACCTGCATTAGCAACAAAGGACGCATCCAGTCCGAGAAAGCTAATAGAACCCCCGATTTCATTTCCATCTCCCAGAGCCAGTAAAGTGGCCGATGCACCGGTACCATCGCCGGAAAAGAAGAGAACAGAACCTGGTAACCGACGACAAAATCCTGTGCCACAACCTGGCACACCGGCACCAGAGCATATCGTCGCTCCAGTGAAGACTGGATCAAAAAGGAAATTCGCACAGGATGAGACAGAAAACGCTGCACCCCGACAATTGACGAATGAGAATATAGCACCGCGAAGTATGGTAGGCAAGGTTTCTATTCGAGAAAAAGCTGGAGGCAAGACATTGAAAGAACTTGCGCATATGAGGACAGAAGCTCGAGAGAAGCATGTGGCTACTGGCAATGGTCGCAAACCCCTGGCTTCAAAGAGTACAAATGACGACGTTAGCTCGCCCCGAAAGAATTCCAAACCAATCGCGATAGACGAAGTTGGCACGGCAAAAGCAGAGCTGGCCAAGTCGAAGCCGACTAAGGAACGAACGAAATCCAAGGCCAAGATCAATGCTGCCGCCAAACTAGACCTTGCCCCGCCGACCACGAAGACCGTGACAGCTGACCTGGCCACAGCGGTCTCGGAACCAGTCATGATGTCGCCAAATTCACCGGAACCAGCACCTGGAGGGGATGACCCAAGAGGTGATACTCCGCCACCTGCTGATATCTTTTTGAATGGCGAGACTGCGCGGGCGAGCCGAAGGAATAGGACAACTATCAGCTACGCAGAACCAAACCTCAGAGATAAGATGAGACGGCCAACCAAGGAGCTCTTTGATGCAGTGGCGGGAGAGGGCAAATATGCTCGAAGAGCGAGTCAATGCGATCTGTCAACGTCTGAAGGTCCCAAGATTAAGCGTGAATCTGACGTTGGGGATTCTTTGAGGCGCATTCCCCCAGCCAGCAACGAGTTGGGTGCGCCAGAGCCGGGAAGCATTCCAGCTAGTCCTCTGGCAAACAAGAGCTCGGCCCAAGACGCATCTACAGCAGTCATTACAGAACGTCGTCGGCCGGCCTCAAGAGCGGCTGAGTCTGCCGCAGATCTCAACCTCGAGGCCGATGAAAACGAGAGCGGCGACGTAGATGTCTATGAGTTTACCAGCTCATCACCACAGATCGATAACAACGCACCTGCGGAGACGACTAGAGCCACACGACGTCGGGGAGCAAATACGCGACGACGATCGGCAGCCGTTGATAGTGAGGAGGACAGCTCTGTCAAGGAGCGAAGTATGTCTCGGCGGCGAAGCATGATGGTATAATGATGACTTCCACATTTGGGCGTTTGACACTCTTTTTCATTTTACAAATCGGAGCGACGTTTACGACTCATGAGCACTGGCGTTTCTGCTTTGTTTACGGAGAGTTAACTCATGGCGTGGAATTGGATGCATTATTTTGGCGAAAGACTGATTGTATTGGTTTTGTTTTGAATGCTCGAGATACCAAGCGATGAAAGTTGTGGCTTCTTTCTTGTATTTACATATTCTGGCTTTCATTTCCTTTGCCTTTTGCGGCCCGTTGAGTTGGAATAGAGCATCTCCGTTTGGAGAATTCTTGGATAGCTAGATTCAACATTATGTCTGCTATGATTGTGCGGGTATCTGGCAAGCCTTTTGTCCGCTCCAAGTATAGTATGCTGGTATATGGGTGAAGTTATCGAATATAGAGGGGAGGGGGGCGATTACTCCGGAATGAGTCGATTCATCATGATGAATTGGCGGCCGGTTCGACTGGTTTCGTATATGTAACTTTCTCCACGGCAACATTTTCATTCCCCTTGTCATCTTTGCGGAGTTGGTAGACGTACAGCGTCAGCGAAATACCTTGGACCTATTTTATTTGTCAATGTAAGCATTCTCAGGCACGCAACGCCGTCAGCGCGGGCAGGCACATCACGACACAGTCAACATACATCCATCAAGCAAAAGCTCGGCGTGGGATCCTCCCCTACACCGCCCCATGAATTCAAAAATGCCCCCGTTGCACTCCCCGGGTTCACGAAAAACTTGTCCATGTACTCGAATGCGTCGAACTTGTGCGTGCCCCCCCAGCACAGCACGTCGACATCTAGCCGGTTTGCTTCCGCCAGCAGCAGGTCGGGCTCGCTGGAGACCAGAGTGAACCCTTCGAGGAAGCCGATTCTGATGCTTCCATGGGTGACGACCTGTGTGAGCGGGAGGGAGGTGGCTTCCACGTCGTTGCGGCCCTTGACGATTTTGAGGTCCGGCGTTATGGAGCGGAGGTATTCGTACGTGTGCTTGTCGGTAAGGTTGCCGAGGCAGAGAGTTTGGCCGATTTTTCCGGGAGCGAGGAGTTTTTTGAACTGCACGGGTTAGCAATGTAGTTTCTCCTAATGCTTTGGGGCGAGGTTAAGAGCGAGAAGAGCTTGGTGATGGGACTGAGGACATGGAGGAGCAGGGTGTACCTTGGCTGGGATGTCGAGGGCGCGGTCTGGGATATGTAGGTCCCCGATGACGAGGATGAGGAAGGCCATGGCGATGCGGACGGAGGAGGGAGCGCGACTGGAGGGGGTGCGACGTCTTAGTGGACGTTTGAAGTCGAAGTACAGATGTCGGGATGTTGGAGCTGGAGGGGGCATTGGGAGCTCCAGGGTTGAACTGAGCACCTTTATCGTCATCAGCCTCGCGGGACCCACTATACATGCATACCGCAACGATCCAACGACTCGACTTCGTTAGGAGTAGACGGGACCTGGTTCCATGCCGATGTTAAAATGCAACGTGAAGAGCCGCTTATGGCGAATTCCGACTGACCATTTCGTCACGGATATCCAACGTGAGCAACACCGGTTGAAACCCGGGACCCTGACTACATATGCAAGATATTGAGAGCTTTGAGGTTTCTCCTCTGGGGGACTCAATTCATTTTATTTCTCGGACAAAAAAAATCTACAGACCTCAAGGCCAAGGAGTAGGACGACCAAGCGGATGCTCAGGTACGGAGGGAGACGTGGGCACAAGCCTCGTTCCGTGTAGTTGATGTTGGCTCCAAGAAAACGCGGACGTATGTTGGGGCTGATGTATTGACACGTCAAGAGTGCTTGCTGGAGCCTAGATAGAGAGACTATTGAGAAAATTTTAGCACCAGATACTTTTACACTTAGGAACCTCTCCCGAGCGGAACTACCATCGACGCCTGTGATGTGTTTTTTAACAAGGAAGAGCTCCAGGGAACAATCATGTAGATAGCATAGTCATTGCTCGGCGCTGCTTATGGCTAGAGACGTGTAGGGTATCGAGAAGCACAATTTTTTGTACCGTAGGCCCCACCCTACATTTCTGTTATCCAGTTGCCAACCAGCCCCGCTAGTTATCGATAATGATTTTTTTTGCGATGGAAACTGCACAAGTAGAGAAGGATTACGGACACGAGGGACACCGCCTCATTTTTTCGCAGCCCAACATCACCATCTACATCTTTTCTGCCTGTGTGTCTACGACAAGATGTCGACACCGACTTTGGCTGAGAAGTTGGATAAGATCAAATCTCCTGGTCTGCAAGGTCAGCAGAGGGTAAGGTTCCATTGAAACGAAAAAAAAATGTAGCTCCATAATCCCGGAACAATTGGACTGACATCGCAATATTTTCGCCTCTAGAATGTGGTCGTACTCCAAGCAGTCGAGTCAACCATTAAAGAACAAAATGCCGCCCCGACCCCGACCGGTTATTTCGCAGCTCTCCTAGCCTTGCTGCAACAGGCAATAAGTAATGGAAGTGTAAACACCGAGCTGGCCACGCCCGTGGTCTACCTCTTGGACGTTGTGACGCCGTACACCCCGCAGCCTCTACTCCGATCCAAGTTCACTCAGATCCTCACGCTACTCGCACCCGTACTATTGATGCAAGACGCCGAAGCTATCCTGCTCAGGACATCCATCGGCTGCTTGGAATCCCTGCTTCTCGCCCAGGATGCGCCGTCGTGGGAGCTCTCTGTGTCCCAGATTGGACCGCGCCGCGCTGTTGCCGGCTTGCTCAACCTTTCTCTGGACCATCGGCCAAAGATTCGAAAGCGAGCACAAGACGCTCTCAAGAAGGTTCTGAAGAATCCTCCTCCTAGCCCGTCACTGGATCACCCGGCTGCCGATATGTGCGCGCAAACTGCGCTGAAGAATTTGGAGGATCTGGCTGGCAAAGCTGCTGATGCGCGCAAGGGCAAGAAATTATCCGATACTACTCACGATCCGGCCCTGATCCATGCGCTTCACTTAGTCAAGACTGTGGCGACGGCGAGCGGCGGCTGGCCCAGCACCAAGATTGAATCTTTGTGTGAGCTGTTACTGGGCATCGCCAAGACTGGTAACGAATACATGACCATGGCTGGCTTTGAAATTTTCGAGTTAATATTTGAGAGCATGAGTGCCGAGGTATCTTCATCCAAGTTGCCACGGCTTATGGAGATCATCTCAGAACTACGCCCCGCTGCTAACGACACCCAACTTGTTCCACCTTGGTTGGCCATTCTGTCACGAGGATTCGATGTTTCTGCTCAGGCCGAGCCAGATGAGACTTTTCAAAAGTTGCCCGAGTTGTTCGCCATGATTGCACAATTCCTGGAATCACATTCTGAAAACATTCGAATCTCAGCTTCAGAGTGTCTAGTGTCTTTCATGGCTAACTGCATTCCCCAGCAAGTCATCCTAGGACCATCGATATACGAAGAAAAGATTTTGGACAAGATCACAAAGACTGCCGAGTCTCTACTTACCGTGCAGTACCAGGCTGCTTGGTTGCAGACCTTCAACGTACTCGGCGCCATGTTCACCTCCTTCCGATGGCAGTCCTACCCGAGGATGATGAACATCACCAAGACCATTGGCGAAATTCGCGAAAACTCCTCATTTAGAAACAAAAGGGAAGCTGATGAAATCATTGGACAAGCCGTGCAGGCCATGGGACCTGAAGCAGTTCTTACTGCTCTTCCCCTAAACATTATCAAACCAGTCAAGGGACAGGCTGGACGCGCATGGATGTTCCCCATTTTGCGAGACTACGTTAGCAACACTGAGTTGGACCACTTCAAGACTGAAATGGTCCCCCTTAGTGAGCTTATGTTCCAGAAAGTTTTGGATCACGGCTCAGCCGATAAGACTATGGAAATCAAAATCTACGAGACGTTGGTGCAACAAATCTGGGCTACGCTACCTGGATACTGCGACCTTCCCATGGATCTCATGGAAGCCTTTGACCAAGGCTTTGCCGAAATGCTCGCCAACCTCTTGTATAAGCAGGTTGAGCTACGATTGGATATCTGCCGAGCTTTGAAGACCTTGATCGAGTCAAATCAGGCTATTGCAAGCATAGGAGACGAAGAAGAGGACTTCATGCTCCAAAGCAGAGTCTCCCGCGACACCGCCCAGAAGAATCTCACGTATCTCGGACAATTTGCCGGCAACATGCTTGCTGTCCTATTCAACGTGTACACGCAGACACTCCCTCAAAGCAGGGGTCCTATCCTCCAAACCGTCAATGCCTTCCTCAGCATCACACCACTCCACGAGGTTGTTGAGACTTTTGGCCGTGTGAGCAAGATGCTGGCTGCAGAGCTCGAGAACACACAGAAGCCCGAGGAGAAGGGAAAGGGCTCAAAGGCCAAGGACCACATGCCATCCACCGCTCAGACTCTGATGGATCTCGTAATTACGATGTCAACCTACCTTCCCCGCGACAGCTTCGCTTCATTGTTTGAGATTGCCGCTGTAATTATTTACAGAGAGGACGAACCACAGCTTCAGAAGAAGGCCTATAGACTTATTCCCCGCTTGGCCACTTCTGAGCTCGGCAAAGCTGCTCTTCAAGAGAAGAATACTGAGTTGCAGCAGCTAATCCTGTCTAGCTCTGAAAAGGTATCTGCTCCCGCTCGGCGCGAACGACTGGCAGCCATTTCCGCTCTCCTCCCGTTTACCTCTGACGATTCCCTCCATTTCATCCCCTCTGTACTTAGTGAAGTGGTCATCTGTTGCAAGGAAAACAACGAGCGTGCTCGGGAGACTGCCTACGATCTACTTGTTCAAATGGGCCAGCGCATGATTGCCGCCAACGGAGCCAAAATTGACAACAGTAAAGTTCGTCACATGCCCAGCGACGCACCAGCTGGAACTGCCAACATCGAGGAATACTTCACCATGGTTAGCGCCGGTCTGGCTGGCAGCACGCCTCACATGATTTCAGCATCCATCACTGCCATCAGTCGTCTCCTTTATGAGTTCCGCTCCTCCCTGGCGGAGCAGACGCTTTCCGACCTGGTCCAAACCATGGACCTCTTCCTCACCTCCAATAACCGCGAAATCGTGAAGAGCTGTCTCGGCTTCGTCAAAATTTGCGTCATCAGTCTCCCTCTGGAGCTGATGATTCCCCGCCTAGCCACTCTCGTCCCCAACCTCATCATCTGGAGTCGCGAACACAAAGGCCACTTCAAAGCCAAAGTCAAGCACATTCTTGAACGCATGGTACGCCGTTTCGGCTACGACCTCATTCACAAGAATTGCCCCGAGGCCGATCGCAAGCTCATCGTTAATATTCGCAAGACCAAGGAACGCACCAAGAAGAAGAGAGAAGCCACCCGTACCGGTCAAGGCGATGATGCCGGTGACGAGTCTGACGAAGAGCAGTCCGGCAAGCGTCAGTATGAGAACGAGTACGACCAGGCCCTGTACAGTAGCGACTCCGACGATTCTGCCGCATCAGATGATGAAAAAACCAACCCCCGACAGAAGAAGTCTCAAAAGGGCGGCAAGACATACATCATCGAAGATGACGATGAGCCGCTCGATCTTCTCGACAAGAAAGCCCTGGCTAACATCTCTTCCACCAAGCCCCTCAAGAACCGCAACCCTACCAAATCCAAAGCCAAATTCGACCCTGACGGCAAGCTCATCCTTGGCGCAGAAAGCGACGACGAACCTGCAGCCGAAGATGGCATGGACATTGACAAGCCCGAAACCTCGGGAGTAGGTGCCTACGTTGCCGCCCTCAAGGGCAAAGACGCAGCGAAGCGCGGCAGAGGCGGCAAGCTCAAGTTCTCAAATCGCCGCTCCAAAGACGACGACGACATGGACGAGATGGATGGGGACGACGTCGCCATAATCAAGAACAAGATTAGTCCCGGCCGCGCCGATAGGGGCAACAAGTTCCGCGGCAGAGGGGGTGTGAGGGGCGGACGTGGTGGACAAGTTGGACGAAGTGGCAAGGGGGGCATTTCGGCAGGGAGAAGAGGGTTAGGCATTGACAAAAGACATGGTGCTCCGGCGCAAGGGATCGGAAAGGGGAGGAGAGGACGGAATTAAAAATGGTCGGGGCTGAGTTTGATTGAAATTTGCGAGGGGTGCCATTCTTATGGAATACTGGCTAGATGGCAAATGGGATACCCGCGTTCACGATATGGTGTATGTGGCTGGTTTGCAATGTTGTCCTGGGCGTTTCATCGATATAAGTAGAGCAATATTTGTATATATATAAATATGACGTCGGACTATTTCGTCTGCCAAGATTGCATTCTCTCCAATGCGGAGCGGTTGATTCAGGCCTGAAAAGATATGACATGTAATGAAGTGATGCACAACCTTTATCAAATTGATCAACGTATTAACAACACTAAAACGAAGCATTTAACGTGTATTAGTCGCCATGCCAAAACCAAGCCATAAAAGACCCTCTCATAGAATGAAAAATAGCTCTGCGCATTTTCCCTCCTCGCTCTCCCTCCTCGTTCTCCCTGCGACCCCTTCCTGGTATCTCAGCGCCTCCCCTATTCTCATACCGGGTATTTCCATCGCACAATCGATTATGCCAGGCTCGTAAGAAAAGAGTCTGTGATGTCGTCACTCATTTCCTTATCGTCATGAAATCGTTCTATGCCAACACCGTCGCTATGCTTTGGAGTCGTTTCTAATTGAATGGAAATAAATGCAGTCAATCATGCGTGGGATCCTCTATTAAAAATAAATCTTTATTCCAGGACAATGACGTTGTCAGATGGCCGTACTCGCCGACGTCCCCGTGAGACATTCTGGTAGTAGTCTTCCGCCGCGGGACGTTTACCGTGGTGTGAACGATATGACGGCTGGTGATTCTGCAAAGGGGCATCTGTCTGAGGATATCCTCTCCTGTTCTAGTGTGAGGGCCCGCTGCTACTAAACTTTGTAAGCTATGGATGATGTGGTGGTACTTACACCTCTTGGGCTGGCCAATATCTGCCAGCCACACAATGTCCAGCCCTGTCTCGGGTTTCTACATCTCGAATATCTGATTCTTCTGGTACGGATGGCTGGTACAATTGCGGCTGATGACCATAAAAGCGTGCCGAGTGATGCGAGTTATGCAAAGCACCTGGCCAATTTATGGGCATCACTTCGATGCCATCATTTCCTCGATTGTCTCGCGGTGTTCTTGCATCTCTCTCAGAGGATACGAGATGAGACCCCGTCGCTCTGTACGGTTCTGAGTGGAATGTAAGGGAGTCTTCTTTCTGATGTGTCAATACCCTCGACTCCGGTGGCAAGGCAACCCTCTCAATGAAGCCATCCCGATCCTCCATAAGGACTGGATTAGTGCGTGTCCCGGGCCGTGGTGGATTTGCAATGATTCTGTCATCTCTTGGGGGATCAGCCCAAATGGGATGTTCATATGGCCTGCTCCAGCCTTGAAGCGCGGGCCTAGCATGACTGGGGCCGCCAGAGATGAACGAATAGTCAACACGCTCTTGAGGAACATAAATGGGAGCATCGAGAGCAAAGCTGTTAGGTTGAAATCTCCTTTCGACTGGGTAGTCGCTAATTATCCGACGGTCTCCCCGGTCTAGGGAGTTACGAATTTCGCTATCCATAGGTGACATACTGCGGATGGTGTGGAATAGAGGTGGTGGCCGAGAAGGCAAAGGGTCTAGATGACCCTGTTGTCTCGGCGGCACAGCCCTTACAAACGCTGGCTGCATCACCATCTCTGACGAGGCTGGCTCAGTAGAAGGGACGGCCATATCCCCCAGACGCTTTGTGATAGGGGACATCATCCTCAATGACGAGGGGCTTTTCGCTGAGAATTCATACACCGAAGAGCTCAAAGCGTCACGAGAAGCTTGAATCTCGGTGGATTGATTGGCATACAGCGGAGGAGTAGCAACTGGGCGAGTATACGACTGAGAGTCCATAGGTGGAAGGCCAGAGCTTACTGTGAACCCTATAGAATGAGCAGCTCGCTCGACTTGGCTGCCGTCGTAGGTTGTGGATTGATGAGCCTCCAGCTGCCTGGCAGGCATTTGTGGATGGCGTGGGTTATATTCGCTCACACCACCAACTATGAATCCATTGCGATCATCGTCTGCTCCGCGGTTCCGCAAAATAGCTTCTTTCCAAATTTGGTGATACCTCTTAAAGCCACGTTTATCATTGCGGTCAGTCTTTTGTACATGATCCACGGGTCTCGCGGGGGCCTTTCCTTTAGCCCGCGCAGTGCGTCCTTCTGCCAGCGTGGTTGGTCCCGGTGATCCAGGCTGTTCTACGACTGCCATTTGTGGAAGAACCGTTGCCGTTGTTGGCTTTGTAGATATCAACACGGAACTGGGTGAGCCATCACCATCGGTGGAGGAGTCATCCATTGTTTCTTCGTCTGAGCTGTCATCTTCGGAGTCCGAAATGACGACCACTTCGCGCAATATCTCATCTAGTTGGTCACGGCCGGTCTCTTCGTCTCCTCGCCACTTGACAAGGATGTCGAGACAAAGGGTTTCGACGGCTTTTCGAGCAGCTTGCCATCCGGCTTGTTTCAGTAATTCATCATACCTTGTGTGAGTGTGGCGAATGTGAGCCAGCACTGCCAACTGGACGCGTCGGGCAAGGGGAATATCACCAGAGAATCCAACGGGTAGCTCTCCTTTTGTATTCGCACGCTGAGAAGTATTACGGTTCGTCAAAGAGCACAGAAAATGGCGATTGTTGGAGATACTAACCCGTGTGAAAGCATGTTCGATGATTATCTGACGGTCAGTGTTGGGGATGCGAGGGAACAGGTCACGAAGCGCTGCATCTGCCTGGGCATGATATTCCGCCTGGGTCTCAGGAATTGGTTCCGGGTTTCCATCTGGTGTGGCTGGTCCGGATTCCGGCAAGTCCGCTATGGTGGCCTTGGCTTCTTCAACGATGGTCTGTCTGATGTGGTGGCCTAGTCGATTGACCTGTTGAGATAGACTGTTATTGGTAGTGACGGGCTGACCACTGTCAGTCTTTTGCCTACAAGGGGACTTTTTTCTTCTTTCTCTTGTAGAATGCGTACCGAAACTACAAATATCATGGCATCTTTCTCGCGGGAAAGATCTTTGCATGCTTTTGTCAGTCCTGGGTTACCGATGGGGACAAACTCGAAGCCTGGAGGCGGGATTTTGTCTTCGGTCTCCTATCATTGGTGAGCCTCATGCAAGGGTACAATTTTGAAAGCTGGCATTGGCTCATTTCTACCTTGACTTGAAGGATTTTCTCTTTCTTGTCTGTATTCTCAACAAACTCAAAGTATGTGTGATGCCTGGATTTTGGTAGTGTTGGCTTTGCCAAAACGCCTTGGGGAGCAGGAGCGGGTGCTAGATGGTCAGACTGAAATCTCTGGTTTCGTCTGCGTTTATCCTTGAACCCGCTCGCTCGAATAGGAGGTTTGACTTTTCGTTTTTCCCTCCCCATGATTTCAAAGGCCTTTCCCCGAGCTTACCATGCTGCGGCTTGTGAAAACTTTGAAGCGCAATACTAGGGCCAGTCAGTAGTCGAGGTAAGAAGATCACCTTGGACACAGCACAGCAAGCCACATGCAGTGAGACAGCGTTTCTGGTTTCTGGGAGACCTTGGGTAGCGTTTGCTATTGCACAAATTTCCTCAGAGCATTAAGAGGAGCGTCAAACAGCGCGCAAAGGTGGGAGAAACCACAGTAGCGGCCGGACTAGAAGCGTTCCCTTCTCGCAACTTTTTTCTGAGGGTAGTGTTCAGGCAGCAGGCTGCATCAGATCACTTGCTGGGGGCGGAGGCGACGGAATGCCAGCATCACACGCCGTGGTCGCTGCAGAATAACAGTTGCAGGACGTTGACGGTTGGCGACAACAAGCTTAGACGTCGACTGGCAAATATGCCAGTTTGAAGTTGCAAAAGGAAAGCATCAACCATACTAACTGGCGGTCTTAAGTTTGGGTACCGATCCGGTGCCTGGCTGATTACATAATCGCATCTGATTGGCGCATGCTACCTCGTGCGGCATACACCAAGAGACCCAACGTGGACTACTATGAAACAATCACGTGGATGCGACATCTACAGATAGAAGGCCTCCGGGTGTTGAGCGTATACTAATTGGATGGCCACAACATTCACTAGCCATGCGAAAGCAGGCGATTCCGTTTACAGCAAGGTAGTGACTCCTCTAGCGATGCGGGCTTCATACGCTTAGTCTTGGTGGCTCCAAGGATATGGATATGGGGGGAACCTGAATCCATCATGGCTGGGATCTGACTGTGTAATAGATTCGTGAAGAATATTGTCCGAGTTTCTGCGGCCGCGGCAACCCATTATCCAAGGAGCTCATCGTCCTTTCCAATGAAAAGAGACAGTCGTGATTGCATGAGACGGCAGAAATGCCATTGCGACTCCGTCACCACGTCACTGCTCCGTACACTGTCGTGACCTCGTCGGGATTTGACGACGGCCTTGACAGAATACCGAGCGAGAATTCCAGACATCAACGCAGGCCCTCGGCAAGTACAGATGACAGTCAGTGGCAGACACTGGGATACATATTCAATTTACGGCCGTCGGCATAGGACTGCGACAAGGCATTGAGACACAGGGATGGCATGAATTGCTAGTCGTCTTGGCTTTTAGCCCGCGGGGTCAGGAAGGGTCCAGGGAGGTGATGAAGGCGGTCACATCAAGTGCTCTTCATCATTTCTTCATTATTATTACTACTAGTACAGACACAACGAAGTCGGAAGTTGGAAGGGTCTATCTAGTCTTTCGCTCATGGCGTAGAAGAGTATCAAAGTACCGGGACTAGATTGAGGCTTCGACTTGGTGTAAATATAGCAGCAATCCGTGTTTCGGAATGTGGCACCGAATCCCTGGACAGCGACGACATCGACGGGGCGAGGTGAATTGCCGCTGGGAGAGGAGGACTCTCAACAAAACGTTTCAGGCCAAAACATACGCACTCGACTCGAAACCCACAGGCCTCAAGGATTCGAAAAAGGAGGAAATGTCGATTTATTACGGGGCTTTTCAGGAAACCACGATGATTTAATTAGTAGGAAGCTTAATTAAGCAGCCCTGTTGAGCCAATTCCGCCGTGTACTCCACAGGGAGACGAATTCAGCATGGACATACGGAGTACTCTGTACTCTGTAAATTATTGTACGGATTCAATCAAAATGTTCAGCACGGAGTACTTTCGTAGGCTGCGCGGGTAGCTATTATTGACAGCACTCCCACAGCAATATTCAAGCTGTGACTCCGGATTTGGGCAGGTTGCGGACAAGCACGTGCAGAATCACCTGACCGAGCCCTGACGAGCTTAGAAGCAGCCAATTATCGTCGGGTGGGGCAAATGCGAGAGAGGCCGGCCATGTCCGTAATAACTGGGATACGGCTATTCCGTACAGCCACAATTCGTCAGGCACTAGGGCGTCATCTCGGATGATGAGCAGCATTGACCGCCAGCACCTCTCCGAAAGGCTTTAGGCTGTCTGGTCAGTCCAGCACACAGGATCCTTCATGCCACCAGCGGCGGGCGGTGGCCGTACAGAGTGTCCTCGTTCGGGCTATTCGGAAACCCGAACCACGGTCTGCAATCCCCTAGCCTGTACGGAGCACGGAGCCTTTGGCACAAGACTGAAAACTAGTTTTGTGCCATGTCCAGTCCTGTAGCCTGGCTTCCCTAATTGTTAACGCCCGTTGCCAGCCATCGGGTTGGCTCTGCTATCTGTGACACGGCATTCCCGGCAACGGACTGGTGTCAAACGCCGTGCTGAGCGTTAGCACCTGACTGAGTTCTCGTGCTGCGTACTTAGGATTCAAACAGTTGAATTCTACGGCTGAGTGAGAATTGTATGCATTATTGTTGCATGGAGGAAGGGCAGGGCTATGACAACAAGAGAATGCATACCCGGGTCATCTACACTCTCGAGCGACAGCTGTCGTGTTCATTTCGAGGAGATTCGTCAGCCCTACTGTTGAAATCGCTGGCTGGCCGCTGCTTTGACGCAGGCCGGGCGTCCTTCTGCAATGGCTACTGGCTCTTTTGCATCCAAACTGAACCTACAAGGGCAATGACCTGTCGGATTGGTTGTCGATGCTGTTGGCGCTGTAGGGGGACCAGCATGATGGGAGCATGTTGATGACGGGGCTAGTCGAGAAACGGGTCGAGGGCGTCGTCATCGTCAGGCAGTCCGCGGCGCTACAATACGCGGTACATCGGAGAGCGAGTTCCAAAAAGGGATTTATCGATCGACGTGTAGGCGACGAGACGGTTCAACGGCGAGGAATACCACGAGACGGCACGAGGGGCGAGGACGTCCATGGCGCTTCAGCCCCAACGGCCAGACAAGTATCGGCCGCAGCCAAATATGCGTGGCGAGATACCTTGCATGGGGCACTTGTCCACCACGGCGCCCGAAATGAGCCAATCAAGGCTCTCTCCGTCAGGGCATCGCCTTCCCTCTGTGAAAGGAGCTGACGCGTCACTGCACCCCTTCACCCCATCATCCCTGTTCGCCCAGCCCAGCCCGCTCGGGCAGGACTTTTCGCCAGGAGCGCCGGACCCAAACCCAGACCAGCCAGGGATGCTTTGCCAGGCTGGAAACACACCATCAAGAAGGCACCCTCGGCCCCCTTTCTGCCTGAGATTTCGTTCCGATTCACTTCTTGTTCTCTTTCCACGCTTTTTTTTTGTCTGCTACACCACGGCTTTCTGCATCCAACACCGATACATCATCGTCGTCCCAAGACACTTCGATAACAACCGCCACCGCATCAATTGCGACACGCACTTCCGACCCCGCCGTCTCCTGCTTGCAATTCTCGAGACGCCTCGCAGCTTGGCCGTCGTGCCCCCTCAGTAGTCATTATTCGAGGTTTCCAAAATGTCGACCTCCAGCCAGACCATCGATGTCGATGCCCTGCTCGACTTTTCTGCCTGTGATGGCAGCTACAACTCGCCGTCGTTGTCACCCTCGACAGCCTCAAAGCCTACTTTCGCCAGTCCAGTCACAGCCGCCGTCAGCACTCCCAGCCTACCCTCAACAACTCAGACACTGAGTGGTCCTAGTCACAATTATGACATGTACCGCCAGCAGACGGGATTCGTGCCTGGCGCCCTGACAAACACCATGGCCGTAAACCAGACCAACAATACTGGTTATCAGGACTTCGGTAGCCTAGACTATCTCTCTAGTTTCAGCCCCGAGAATGATGTCTTTGATTTCAACGCTTCACCCTCGCAGGCCACCATGGAGATGGAGTTCGAGTCCCCTGCTGACTCGCAGTTCTTTTCCACTGTGAACCCCAGCAGCATCGAACACGACACTTCCGCTCTCTCTCAGACTAGCAGCGTTGGCCGTCTCTGGCCTGGTGCCCACTCGCAAGCCGCTCTCGCAAAGGCCCAGGCCCAGCAACGACAGCAGCAGCAGCTCATCCAGCAGACTCAGCGCCAGACCCCTCCAAAGTCTCGCGGCAAGGCTCCTCAACCTACTGACCCCATCGTCGAGCAGAAGATTACTCAGCTCCTGAATTCGATGCGGGCCAGGCCTGCCTCCAATGAGCCCGAGTCTCAGTCTGTCCTCAACAACCTGCCCAAGGCCAAGAAAGATGAGGAGGAAATGGATGAGGATGAGCGCCTTCTCGCCAGTGAGGAAGGCAAGAAGCTCAGCAGCAAGGAGCGACGACAACTTCGAAACAAGGTGTCCGCTCGTGCTTTCCGTTCACGCAGAAAGGGTAAGCTTTTTTCATCTTGTCTTTTTACATCCTACTTTGGCCATTCGCTAACACCCGCTCCAGAATACATCTCCCAGCTTGAAGCTGAAATTGCAAACAAGGTCAATGAGAATGGTGACCTGAGATCACAGAACCGTGCCCTGATGGATGAGAACAAGCGACTGTCAGATCTGACCCGCATGCTTCTTTCGTCGCCGTCATTCTCTACTTTTCTTGACAACCTCAGCGCCAACCCTACCGGACTCCCACAAGGCTCTCCTGTCAAAATTGAGCAGAACCCGCAGCAGGAACAAAACCAGGTCCCGAAGGACGTCAACGCCTACAGCGGCCAATTCTCCTCTCAGCAGCAAATTGGAATGGCCATGATCCCTGAGCAGACCATGGACTTTTCACTTCTCAGCCTCGGTAACACTTACAACTTTCAGCCTCAAGTCTTTTTTGTGGACACTCCCGAAGTGCCCAATGCCATTGACGCTTCTGTCCTCTCCGGCAAGACCTCCAACTTTGTGGAGGAGTCTTATAGCTCTGATGAGGAGAAGGTCGAAGTGCCCTTTATTGAGCGTCCTCTCGAGACAAAGGCTATTGAGACATCCGAGACTCCTGTTGATGAGGAATTTGAGTCTGACCCCGAATTTGCCCTGTTCCACTCTGAACCTGCTACCACTACCGCAACGCCCAAGGACATTGACACCGAAAACCTGACTGGTGTCGATCTCTTTGGCGGCATTGAGTCTGAGAAGATGCTTGCACGTTACGAACTTGTCAATGCTACGGAGGAAGAGGCCACTGCTGCTTTCGCCATGGCCCGTGTCCAAAGAATAAGTGCCAACATTGACTCAGTTGTGTCAAGGTTAGCACTTCTGACCATGGACTTATAAAGACATTCATTACAGAACAGCTAGTGAGCATCGGTGGTTAGAGTAATATTCTTGTGATTTTTTTTGTTTTCTTCTGGGCATTTGGGCGAATTCAATGGCGTTTGGCAAAATCACGGGACAATGTGATGATATAGGCTTCCGGGAATCTTCTTTTTGTTCTTGTTTTAAATGCAGCGGCCAGAATGTTTGAATCTGGGCACTTTTGTATAGATAAGAGTCGAAAGCCAGGCTTTACGCCACTCGATCAATCAACTAAGTCAAATTACTCGAGCTTGACGCACATTGGCACTGTGACTGCAATGCTCTCTGTATCCCATAGTTGCGCCAGGGATACAGAAACACAAGAGCCAACCAATACTGTTGTTCGTAGAAGTTCTCACCCATGCACAACCCATGACTTGTTTGTGCAACCACTCCTAGGTTCGAACCCACCTGTTCCATCTGTGTACTTGCCGATTTGGGGGGAAGGATGTTATGGATATGGATGAGGTTCGTCTTGTAAAACTCAAAGGCGTGGCGTGGAGTGGTGGGTAATTGTATATTTCAGCTGGCGGCTGGGAGGTCTGTTCTTCTGATGATTTTGGACAATACAGACAGGTAGGTCATGGAGCATGAAGCTGCAAACATGTGCCTCCCCTTTCTCATATTGAGAAATGGCCTAGGAAGGCGTAGATATGGTCTCTTGGATCGCGGGCAAGCAGGTATCGCGCGCGGTGGAGCTCGTAGACAAAGTTGCCCTGTTGTGATTCTCGTCGTACTCGTCCTGGGGCTCGACGAAGCGGTTGTACAGGTAGCGGATGCTGGGGGTGCTGATGTGGAAGCGTGTGCGGAGGAAGTGGTATTGCTGATTGAGGATGCCGCAGACGTTGGAGAGCTTCTCCCAGTCGAGCTCGGGGCTGCCCCAGAAGAGGGATGCCGGGGAGCCAGTCCCTATTTCTTGGACGATCCATATTCTGCCAAACTGGCGGGTTTGTTTTTTTGTCATGTTAGTCTAGTAGTATATCGGCCTTGGACTGAGGGAGAAGGAGGGGGAGGGGGGATGGTGGCAAGCAGAAACATGTTGGCGATGCTGCAATGCAGGAAGCCCAACTCACCCAAGGCAGCTTTGTCAAACTCGCAAACGGTATCCAAGGAACATGGTCTTGTCTATACAGCTGCTCTGAATGTGCGATGCGGAACTCCCTATGCGCGTCCTCATCCCCAAAAACAACATGCAGATAATCGACAGTGTCCTTGGCCCGTAGAGCGTCCCCCTTTTCATCGGGTCCCAGCCATACCAATATCCTCGCCGCCGCCTTGTAGACCTCATTCATGAGCCGTGCCTAGCTGTTCCTCTCCTGGACATCGTCCTGGTTAATGCAAATCTGATCAGCCCATAACCTCCTCGGCTTGGCGTCCAGTTTCACTCGGCAGAGCGCATCGTGAATACTCTTGGTCAGCGGTAGGTATTCCCCGTCGCATACTATGCATTCGCAGCGTCCGCCTGTGCCCCAGACATACGAGATCGTTTCGTACGACGAATCCGCCTCGCAGTTGATGAGAGAATCGAGATTTTCAATGCTCAACGACCCTATTAGAGGGGCGAAGCACTGCGCTGAGGGCTGTAGAGTGAGGATCCGTATAGAGCGGGTATATGGGAACGGCAGATAAGTGTGAGCGGGGGGCTGGAGTGTCGGACGGGGAATCTTGTCCATGGAACTAGGTTCGGGGAACGTGAACGAAAAGAATTGATATTGATCTTTGACGAATGGCGTTGATGAGTCCCGTCATTGCAAAAATTGCTTGAGATGGGACATGGGTGAGGTGAGACGAAATAAGCCCTGCTCAAAATCCACTTGTCTGTAGTGACGGAATTGGTGACGGGCTATGCTGCTTGCTCGATTAGGCAAATACTATGGAGTTATATGAGGTCGAAGGTGAAGTAGGAAACGTTTAGAAAATGACAGCTAAGTGGTGAGACTAAAGAACTTATCTTTAGATCAAGTTGACGAGCAGTTTGACGGCATCAAGGGAGGAAGGAGCACAAAGACCGATCGCCCTGAGCAGGTCACCACGACAAAGCAACTGCTTCCAGACAAGACAGATGCTATGTGCAGCTGAAAGTCCATATCGACATCCAAGTATTGCGTGTGAATCATCATTCATCTCGTACGATGCAAAACAAATAACCGATAGACCTTAAACGCCGGCAGCTCATTACAAACCTCCAAGCCGTCTTGTTGCTTCGAGAGCGCATAAATGGGAGCGCATTAAGTAAACCACTACGGCCTGCAAGTTGTACGTCCCTGTACGTGCCCTTCATCACAGCCTCTAGGGGTATCACACAATCACACACTCTCCCTCGCATTGACCGGCGCGCCAGTAACGCTCACCCCGTCCTCGTCCATTGCTCTTGTTCTTTGAGCAAACTCGCTAGTCACGATATCGGAACCAAACGGGCTTGTATATGTCCCCCTCCCGCCATCCCGAAGCTCCCAGCTTCCCACCCGTTCCTCATTCCGCCCAGCGTTCGACACCGTCACGTCCGCATCGCCGGCCATTTTGTCATTGCCCTTGAATCCTCCCGCAGCAGAGCCTGCAGGCCCTCCATCCTGCCTCCCATTACGACTGAAACGCCAACCACCAAGGGCTATGAATCCCGCTGTGACGCATGCAATGAGAACGGCCATAAGCACGGCACCAAGGACCCCGGCAACAGCAGGACTGATGGCGCTTGAAGATGAGCCACTTATCTGATTGTCCGGAAGGTTTGGGGTCAAGCAAAATGTCGACGTTGTTCCTGGGCTGCAGATTGTGCACCATTCACTGGCGGTTGTGCTGATCTCGTTCATTTTGCGGAGAAAAGAGGTATAAGACATAGCGGCCCCCCCAAATCCAGATCCAAATAGAGGGTACGTTGAGAATTGATCGCCAGAGTCCGCACTCGGTCTGTATGAAAACCGCACTTGAAGGCTGTCGGTGCTACTGCTGTGGTCACTCTCGCTTATGAGCTCAAATGCAATTGCAGAGCCAGGCTTTGGTAGCTGGGAAAACGGGCTCGCCGCAGCATTCTGGTCATTCATGAGCCCTGACGCCCCAAAGAACGCCATCAGGGACCGGGAAGATCCGAACATGAATGTCAGCTTCCCCCTCGTCCCGCTAGTTGCTAGGAAGGTGCTGAATTGGTCCGTTACTTTGTTGGCCAATGTCCGTCCGGCAATGCTATAAAGCACATTGAGGGGATCATCCTTGTTCATATTGCCGCTATAGCTGGTCTTGGACTGCTCGAGCGAAAACGCATTGTTTTGCAAAACAGAAAGAGTGCCATTGGGGTCCTGGAGGCCTTTATGAACAGTCTCATTATAGGCATAATTGAAGTCAACAAAATTATATATCTCTTCCGCATTAAGGTATGTTGCTTGGCCCGCTGGCAAGCTGCCTTGCATGGGGTCGTTAGAAAACAATTTGGTGTAGAAATAGGCCTTGTCGTTGACTCTCTGGTTGATTTCAGGGCTTTGAGACAGATTCTGGCTCATATGGCTTTGCCACGCGGTGCACGCTTCGTAGCCTTCAATACTATTCAGACGTCGAATTAGCATCTCCCTCCGAGGCACGCCTCGCCTGTCCGTGTAATCGAGACAAGACTTACGCAACAGAATTACTGTCCGAGTTCGGATATGTGATGATGTGAGCGTACTGATACCCATTTAGCGGATAATCCGTAGTGTTGGAATCTAAGACAAGATTATGTCCCACGTAGCTCGTATTAGGGTTGGGAGGATAGAATCCTTGCATAAATGCAGCAGCACTGCTTGTCGACCACTCCTGCGTTGCAGCCATGATGGCCATTTGGGTATTGTCAATGCTGTCGGTTGGTAAGCTCTGGATGGGAGCAGTGTCTGTACTATTTGACGAGGCAGTAGTATTGCTCGCGCTGCCACCTAGATATCGATTGCGAAAAGCTGCCCCCAGTCGCTGCATTTGCTGAGCACCGTTGGGCGTGAGGATGACATGATCACTGATGAGGTTAGGCGTAGTCTCACCATGATTGACGAACACAACGGCAGCTCGGACCGTTGAGTTTGTAGTTTGCGCAGCGACGTGGGCCAACAAGCCACACGCGGCGACAAGACTTGAGGTCGAGATCATGTTGCGTGGAATCCTATGGCAAGCACCAGGACAAAAACCATGTCCGATGTAACCACGATGGTCTTAATCAATCACCACATGCGAAGATGGGGTGAATTTCAGTAAAAGACGACTCACTCGGACCTTCGGAAGACGCTTGGGATGGGCGCGAGGTCATCCAAAGCCAAGACACAAAATCGAGACAAGGCTGCGAGACAAACTTTAGTAATTACTTCTTTTTCTAATGGCTGGTAGCTTCGACTAGCTAAGCAAGCTCAGCTCTATGGACCCCAAACCCAATCGTTGCTCCAATCTCAGCAGCTCAGACTCGTTCTGGTGTGTGTGGTTGGGATAAACAGTTAACGGTTTAGGTGAGGGGCTTGACGGTGCCGGTGCGGGTGGTGGCCACTGCGGGGTCATTCATCGAAACTGCAGACATCGCGATTCGCCTGGGCTTGGTTGTGTGAGCCTGAGCTGCACCTCTGACGACAGAGTGCTCCCCTTGTTCAGCCTCTTTTCTCTCTGGACTAAAGTTGTGATTCCACTATGACATGTTGTAAGTCTTGGCTGCCGGTTGCGGCTACACGGCGTTCTCACGCCTCTTCCGTGGTCATGATAGCAGAGGCTTTGGAATCGGATGTTGTAGTAAGCTAAAATATTGCTTGCTGTTCAGACTTTTGTTCAGAACAAATAACATGATAGCCCGGTCCTCGCCGAAAAACGCAAAGCGGCCATTTACTTGCCAGAGCCAAAATGAATAGGTAAAAGAGTCAAAAAAAAAGGTTCCAGAGGGAGTCGAACCCTCGCTGGCGGAATCAGAATCCGCAGTCATAACCGTTAGACCATGGAACCGGCTGAAACGGTGATCCACTTCACATGGTAGGTATTTTGATGCTGGACGGCGGTATTATTTCCATATATATTGTGCTCGTAACCAGATCGGACCGGACCTCCTCTACCATAGGAACGCGGAGTAGGGAGGTAACGAAAATATCCAGGTTCCAACAATGGTTGTGTACTGCGAATATGACGTGACGACGTGGATGACACCTAAGTCCTCATCCTTTGCGTGACTGCTCGCACGTGGATAGGCAGAGTGGTGACGATAAGAGTCTCATAGCCCCTTAGTGTTGAAAGCATGCTGCTGCGGTCGAGTTGCGACATGTCCCCAAGCATGCCTGAACGATTTGGCTACTCCTGATACGGCATGCGGGCATGCCTCCTTAACTCCTGGTTTACATATCATTCTGTAACCCTCTACTCCGCATGCCGGTTGCTCAGAGTTGAGAAGCGTCTTGCAACGATTGAACAATCTCTAAATCTCTCGGCTATTAGTGTTCCTTGTTGTTAACGACGGAATAGTCCAAGCACGGACATGGACGCCGCCCAAATGCTTACTGACCTGCAAACCGCAGAAGTGAACAGCCGTACTTGATTGCACATGCTGAGTGTTTTCAGAGCACTTCGTGTTAGCTAACGGGGCAGGGACAGATTCTATGTAATGGGCTGAAACAGGCAATACGTTGACGATGAAGCCAAGCCGACCTGGATCCGCAAATTCCAAGCAGTTAACTGTGATCGTGCGGAGTACTCCCATGTTCAACTCCGAGTACTAGTAGTAAACGATTATCTTATCAATCGATGTGACAGACAAGGTGAGACCTGCAAGGGACAGATGTGGCGCAGGGATGTGTTGTTGTTCTTGTGCCCCGTGGAATGCAGATAGCTTGCACCAAGTCGAGGAGATGGAGCTAGATGGCCGCTGCGAATCAAGATTTATTTAAAATAGATAAATAGAAGTACGAAGCTCCTACAGCGGCAGGGTGCATTACGAACTGCAGTGGTTGGACACATGGATATGCCAAGGGCATCGGTTCGGAGAGATGAAAATAGTTCCCAGTTACTACTGATGTGCAGCGGTAAAAGGCAAACAGACCTTGGAACTGGAGGAACCGGCAAATTGGGATAGCAGTCGCGCCTCAGAACAAGCGAGGCGAGCACAGTCAGCAATCATGCGATACATGCGAACATCTCCGAGGACTCGACAAGCACCCGCCTCGCTCCTGCCTCGCCTGCCAACTGTATCGAGATCGACGACTAGTGGCCTGATTCTGCAGAAACAGGCTAGGCCAGACCTGTAATAGGGGAAAAGCACAGAGTAATGTAACTTACCCGTCAGCGATTAAGTGCACAGCAGCGGTCCAGGGATAACCTTGCACCTCCGCCTCTTCGTCCTGGCCACAGCACCTGTTCACTCCAAGTACCGTGCGCCGCTGGCGCTGAAGTGCTGTCCGGGTCTTTTGAACTGGCACACGTGCGGTGGTGCTGCTTTCGCTGAACTAGCAAACTGGTACTAGCTTAGGAAGGTAGGTACCTAGTAGGTACTCCCTAGGTAGTCTTGGTCCGTATTAACCAGTGAGCTCCAGCAACCTATCCAAGTACTGACGGGTACCAGGCTCGCGGCCGCTGAGCCTCCAGCCAACCAACCCAGCCGAGACTGGAGGAGACGAGGTCCGACGTCGTACGAACGCCGTCAACTGGTCCGTTCGACATCCGCCGTCTACGCTCTCACTCTCACACACACACACACGCACACACACGCACCACACTCGCCCTCGCACACCAGACTCCCTGCACAGCTCCCGTCGTCACTTTGTGTTTCCCACCATCAGTCGTCCGGGACCTCTGTTTTATGTCCACTGCTGTGCACAATTAATCGCGAGCTGCCTGTCTTGCCGACCGGTCGCATGTAGCGACTCAAAGGCAACCACCATGTCGACCGACGTCGTGAGCGACGTAGCGCCTCTAGATCCTGGGGCTCCCGCTTCCCAGTCCCAGGGATCAGGACCCAGCTCTGACCCTCAACCAAATGCACATGCAGCAGGTCCTGCTCCGACACCAGTCTCCAATCAACATGCCACCGGCCCTGAGGACCAGATCGAATGTGCAAAGCCGACTGCTGCCGTATTTTTGAACTCGCCGCCCGATAGTAACAATGCGACCAAGTCCGATACTAGCGACTCGGAGCTGAGCGAACTTGAAGAAGAACCAACGCTCGACGATGCACCATCCGCACCCACGCCCCAACCTGCGTCTGCATCTGCACCTGCTGCGCCTGAGGCTACGACTAATTCTGTGCATTCGCCAACTGAGAGGCCCGAGGGAGCAAAAGAAGAAGACGAAGAGGACATCGGAGAAGTACTTCCCGACGACTGGTCTGGCGCAGTCCCCATCTTTCGCCCAACATGGCACCAATTCAAGGATTTCCAGAAATTCGTATGTTTCCTGGGCATGAATGCATCATTGCCCACTTTGCTAACTTTCTCCCTGCAGATGAAAAAGGTTGACCGCTATGGCATGAAATCCGGCATCATCAAGATCATCCCTCCAAGGGAATGGAAAGATGCCCAGCCCCCCTTGGACGAACTTGTCAAGCACATCCGAGTTCGAGAACCCATCAAGCAAGATATCATGGGATCCAATGGTACATACCGTCAAGTCAATATTCTTCATGGCCGGTCCTACAATGTTCCACAGTGGCGACAACTCTGTGGACAGAGCGAGCACCAGCCTCCCGCCAGACGCGGTGAACGCCGAGCCAATGCCGATAAGCTCAAGCCAGCTAGGTCGAGAAATGTCGTCTCAAAAGAGCCCAAACAATCAACCCCAAAGAAGCGTGGTAGGGGCCGACCAGCCAAGAACAAGGGCAAAAAGAGGTCAGATGATGGGGATGAACGTCCCATGACTCCTGTCTCGCCCAAGCCAGAGCCTGAGGAAGAGAAAGACAAGGCTGTTGACTCCATTGAGCAGGAACTCGAGGAAGATGTCCAAGAAGATGACGAGCCCACTGTTGGCAGGATGGGCGGTCAAATGGGCGGCGCTAAAACACCTAAACCCAAGACGCAGTCTGTGTCGGCTCGTCGCAAGTACAGCCGACGCGAGGGATCCACCATGATTGACGAGGCAGCGTTCAAAGATTTCGATTATCGTATGGATATTTCCGAGTTTACCCCGGAGCGATGCGAAGAACTGGAACGAGCATACTGGAAGACTCTTACCTATGCCGCGCCGTTGTATGGGGCCGACATGATGGGCACCCTTTTCGATGACCGAACAGACACTTGGAATCTTAACAAGCTTCCGAATCTGTTGGATGTCCTTGGTACAAAAATCCCTGGAGTCAACACGGCATATCTCTACTTAGGCATGTGGAAAGCTACCTTTGCCTGGCATCTCGAAGATGTGGATCTTTACAGCATCAACTATCTTCATTTTGGTGCGCCCAAGCAGTGGTATAGCATTTCTCAGGCTGACGCTCGTCGATTTGAAGGTGCCATGAAGAGCGTGTGGCCTGCTGATGCTAAAGCGTGCAACCAGTTTTTGCGGCACAAGGGCTTTTTGATTTCTCCCCATCACTTGCTGCAACATTACGGAATCAAGGTGAATAAGGTGGTGTCGTACCCCGGCGAGTTTGTGGTGACATATCCTTACGGCTACCATTCGGGTTATAATCTGGGCTACAACTGTGCCGAGGCCGTCAATTTCGCCCTAGACACTTGGCTGGAGATGGGCAAAATTGCCAAGAGATGCGAATGCGCACAAGCTCAAGACAGTGTCTGGATCAATGTTTACGAAATTGAGCGGAAACTTCGCGGGGAGGAAACAGAATATGAGGAGACCGAGGACGAGGACGACGAGGACGACGAGGATCTATCTGGCTTGCCCACGCCGCCAGCGACCAACGGTGTTAAGTTCAAGGATGCAAGCAGGAAGAGAAAACGAGGTCCAGGTGAAAAGAAGACCAGAGTTAAGAGGGTCAGGCTACGACTCAAGGCTAAAGTGGAACCACCATGCTGCCTCTGCCCCAACGACATTTCCCATTTTGACATCCTTCCCACAGACGATGGTCGCAAGGCTCACAAGCTATGCGCCCTTTACATCCCTGAAACGTACATAGATTCTGTGGATGGCAAGGAGGTCATCTGCAACGTTGAAAGCGTGCATAAGGATCGACTGAATCTCAAGTGCTTACTCTGCCGCTCGAGACGCGGTGCTTGCTTCCAGTGCTCTCACCAGAAATGTGCAAGGGCCTATCACGCTACGTGCGCGGCTGCGGCTGGCGTTTTTGTCGAAGATCAAGATATTCCTGTCTTTGGAGAAGATGGTATGGAGTACAAGGAGCAAGCTTTCGAGTTCAGTTGTCGGTTCCACCGAGTGAGGCGGGACAAGAAGACGGATGGCGACGCCCTGGAAATGGACACCAACATTCGAAGCGCAGCCAAGGAGCTCAAGACGGGCGAAATTTGCCAATTTCAGTACCTCAAGGGTGAAATCTTTGCCGGTGTCATTGTCGAAAACCGCCTGCAGGACGAGACTCTCTTAATCGATCTACTTCCTCCGGGGTACGTATATACATTCAACTTACCAGGCCGGCAGCAAATGCTAACTTGTCAAAGTGACCGGTTGGAAGTCGAATGGAAGTGGCTGGTTCTGCCAGATCCTGCCGATTACCACCTTCCGAAGGCATCAGCAAAGGCTTTGCCCATGCCAGCTTCCCGCAAGGCCAAGGATAAACTCAATACCAAGAGAATTCATGCCGATAAACCAAGAAAGGATGACTTGTTTGCCGAAGGCTACAGATGGGCAGAGTTTGAGCTTTATGAAGCTTCAAACAAGGGACAAGCTAAAGTCGACTTCAACAAGCAAGATCAGATTTGGCACTATATCGGCAAGACATCGACAGAGGCGAGGGCACAGTATACAGAGGACCCTACACAGCAGCGTCACAATCCCAAGAGCAACTTTTTGGATACGATACCCAAGCCTCCCAGGCCAGCCCCTACCTCCAAGCCCATGTACAACCACCAGTCATACCTTGCCAAAGCCTTGGCTTACTCTTACAGTCTTGCGGGCAACTACGCCGCGGCAAACGAGCAAGTTTCATTCGAAAAGCCTTATATATATAAACCCCGAAAGCCGGCTGAGGCTAATTTCACGAAGCCCACGACGTTTGCGAATCAAGGCTTCGCTGCTACCCATACATCTTCAGTTGGCTCAGCACCAGTATTCCACACTTACGATCATCAAACGGCGAACTTTCGACCGCAACCCACATTGACACACAGCACGCCGCAGAACCAGAATGCGGCACCTGTGGAAATCATGCACTACGTTCAGATGCCCCAGGCGGCAGGAAACTCATTACCTCAAAGCCGCCAGCCTGCTTACCAAAAGCCTGCCAACACACCATCTGTTCAACATAGCAAGCCTGCATGGCAAGTCCACTCGTCGGTGTATCAAAAATACCCCTTCTTTCAAGTGAATTACAATCGGTATGTGTTGACCGCAGTGCCCCAAAGGGGTTGTATAGACTAACACCGCATAGGGATTCATCTAGATATCGGACTCCATACTCTCCGTGGGGTGGCTTTACGAATGGATATGAAGGAAACCTTCGGGCACATTTGATGGCAACCCAGCACAATTCAATACAATATTCGACATTTGGTGGGACTCCTGGACCCCAAGGGCATGTGCAACAAGTGCAACAATCACCGGTAGGGCAGCCAATACACCCAGTGCACCAAATGCACCAAGCACAGCAAGTTCAGCAGTCGTCACTCCCGCAGGCACCTAAGCCCAAGCCAGCGCCAGCGCCAGCGCCAGCGGCAAAGCCCTTCAAGGTTGGACTTCCCGCTGCTATTCATCTCTCCCTACAAACGACTAAACCAGCTATGCAGGTTCCAGCAAAGGTGTCTCCAGTGCCATTGCCACCAAATGTTCTCGCTGCCATGGCCAAGGCTTCCGAAAGCCAACAAGCACCAAGACCGGAGCCAAAGCTGCTGAAGGATGAATCTCAGCCAACACAGACGCACTCGGTGGAGCCTACACCGCCATTAAATCAGCCATCTGTAAAGCCGTCCGGGTCTGAACCGACGTGGGCAAATCAACCGCAACCTGCTTTCCCAGCCACTCCTGTTGCGCAACAACAGCACCATGGACGAGACAACTCGTTAACGCCAGTGGGACTAACACCGCAAGAGTTTACTGATGTCCCTGGTTCAGAATCTATGCAATTTGTGGAACGGATGATGCAGAACTTGCGCAGAGCCTCCATGAATGGAGGGACGGACAGGACGGACATTTAAGGGGATAGAACTAACGGAATTGTAACACTATTATGTGAAATATACCGGGGGCGGGTTCTATCCTGCCCACCCAGGCGAATCGATACCCATTCCCTTCCAAATGTTTTATAGACGAATGGGAGGCATTACCAGGATTACACAGACGGCGTTGAACGAGACGGCGTTGCACGGGGGGCTTGCTTTTTTCTCCTTTATTTTACGGAAACGACATAGTTTATGACAGGGAAACGGACATGAATGTGGTCGGCAGTTGGCAGGGTTGGGGTGGTTACGTGAACTATGTACATTATGCCGGCTTGTGCTCGAGCTCAAATATCCGGGTATTTAGTAGCAAAGAAAGAGCTGCGTTATCTGACATGGCTATTGATGGCTTTGATTGAGGTGTTCAGTCACAATCTGAGAGATGTATCGCGCAAATGGCCGTGGGAGCCTCGCAGCTGGCAACAGTGCCAACGGAGCCCGTGTTTATCTACCTACCTAGGTACCTAGTAGGTAGGTGATTAACAAATTCCTGGGGACGTCCTTTGTGCAGCTTTCCTCATTCACGAGAAAGCTTCCTAGAGTCTCTTCGCCGATACACACCTACCAAAAATGAACACCATTGAAGCCGCCGCGTGGTCCAACGACGACGCGGAGCGGGCAAAGATTGAGAACCGCGGGCTCAGCACCAACAAGTACGTCCGCGGACGTCGACTGGGACTTGGTGGCTCAAGGATCGTGTACAAGACACTGCGCGTCAGCGACGGCAAAGTGCTTGCTGGGAAGTCGTCCAAAGCACCCAAGGACCTGGAGAGGGAGGCTGACATTCTCGGGCTCCTGCAACATGTACGTTGCTCTCCGCTTCCTCGCAATGCCAGCACACGGCCTCTAACGCTTTATCCACCGCTTGCCGACTTGCACCAGGAACACATTGTGGCGTTCGTCGAACTATACCACGATCCCCTCTGCCCTGTCTCCGGCCTGCTTCTCATGGAACTCTGCCCTTACGGAACCCTCCAGGCGCGGATCGACCAGGTGACGCCTCACATGGCACGGGGAGAAGTGCTCAGCGTGGTGCTGCATATTGCACGGGCTCTGGCGTACATGCACGCGCGGGGGATGTACCACTCGGATGTGAAGCCGCGCAATGTGCTCCTACAAAACTTTGATCCCGTCCGCGTCGTGCTGGCGGATTGCGCAGACGTCAAGATGTTCGGGCAGCAGGGCAAGTTGAAGGGAACGCCGGCGTACTGGTCGCCGGAGATGGAGACGACGAGGGCGCACTGTGGTCCTGCGGATGACATGTGGGCTTTGGGAGTGACGCTTCTGGGCATGGTTGGGCAGTGGCCGCAGATGGTGTATACTGTGAGGGATCTGGAGATGTATCCGAGGAGGTGCTTCGAGCATGTGTGCAGGTTGGGGGAGCTGAATCCGGGCGTGGGAATTATAAGGCTGTTGACGGGGCTGTTGGCTTGGGAGGCGGAGGAGAGGATGAGGGCGGAGGAGTGTGTGCTTGCGGTGGGGGAGCTGGAAGGGGCGGAAGGGGGAGAGGAGCTTGGGATCAGGTCGCCCGAGGCATTTCGGCCCATGTCGTTTTGGTGAGGGTGGTGAAGATGGAGATCACGGTTGAGGTTGTGTGATATATATGCCTCGCCAAGCCTTGCCAGGCGAGGAGTAAGGACTTGATTATCACTGGTACCTAATGTGGCAGCTTCTCCGCACGAGACTGATTAGGCTGTGACATCCGAGACTGGGAACAATTGATTCACTATCATGGTGCATTTATTAGGACATGTTGCCAGTGTTGGGGCTGCTAATAACTATATACCATAACAAGACGTCAACGGTAGCTAGCTGGTCAGGCTGTATATAGGGTGGGCGGAAAAAGACCCGATCCCCGACACTCAAACGGGTTTTCCGTACAACTGTCCCGCCGCTTCACTCCGTATTTACTCGTCGACTTTCCACCCGCGCGGAGCAAATGCCGCCCTTACCCGCTACGGCTGCATTCCCGACCAGGGCGTTGACGACATTTCGCCTTTTTCTTACACGCAGCCAAATCTTAGTCATCTCATCCACGTCCGACATCGCGCCCTGCCTCAGCTGCCTCGCAATTCACCCCAATGAGGTGGTCGATTGAGTCGTTTACTTATCCGTCAGCTCCTCATCCGACCTCTCTTCGTCCGGCGACAGAGTCCTCTTATTTGCCTCATAGCCGTTGGGCCCATGTCTCGTACACTCGCGCAGCCCTTCCTCAGACGCCTATTCAAACCCACGCCATCTCTCACCTTGAAGCGATTCAAGAGTACCATGGAAGGCAGTAGCAAGATTAAGCCCGCAGCAAGGGTATCTGGCCAGAAGCAAGATGTCTGGTACGCAATCCCGCCTTGAATTTTTTATATTCCCCCCTCCTGAGCTTACGATCCTGACGCAACATTTCTTTTTTTTTAAAATAAAAAAGAGTAAAAAGAAAAGAAAAGAAAGTAACTAACACGCCATCAGGTCCATCATCAACGAAGCAGCCGCCGCTTCCCCCAAACAGCCCATCGTCAACATGGGCCAAGGCTTCTTCGGCTACAACCCCCCCGACTTCATCCTCAATGCTGCCAAGGACGCTCTCGACCGCGTCGAGTGCAACCAGTACTCCCCTACCAAGGGGCGGCCGCGGCTCAAGAAGGCCATTGCGGATGCGTACTCGCCCTTCTGGGGTCGCAGGATTGATCCCGAGACGGAGGTTACCATTACCACGGGTGCCAATGAGGGTGCGTGTTTTCCCCTCCTCTCTCCTCTTTTCCTTTGTTATTGCGTCCATTTTCCTTTTTTTTTTTTTTTTTTTTTTTTGACGGTGCTGTCTGATTCCTATGCTAACTGTGCCAGGAATGTTGAGTGCGTTCATGGCCTTCATCGAACCTGGCGATGAGGTCATCATCTTTGAACCCTTCTTCGACCAGTACGCAGCTCACTTACCCCCCTTCCCATTTGTTTCCAACGTCTGAGGTGCAATCCGGTCTAAATAAGCGCAGGTACATAAGCAATATTGAAATGCCGGGCGGCAAAATCGTCTACGTGCCCATGCATCCTCCCGAATCAGGCGCAACCAAGACGTCGTCTGCCGCAGACTGGACGATTGACTTTGCCGAGCTGGAGAAGGCGATTACACCACGCACCAAGATGATTGTCTTGAACACGCCTCGTACGCTCTGCTACCCCGATAAACACTAAAAAAAAAAAAAACCATACCTCACATTGTACTTGAAATAAAAACCACAACGGTATAGTGTACTAATATTGTTTGCCAGACAACCCCGTCGGCAAGGTGTACTCGCGCGATGAGCTCCAGAAAATAGGCGACTTGTGCGTCAAGAACGAAATCATTATTCTGTCCGACGAAGTCTACGACCGCCTGTACTACGTGCCATTTACGCGAATGGCCACCCTGTCCCCGGAGATTGAGAAGTTGACAATCACGGTCGGATCCGCGGGCAAGAACTTTTACGCAACAGGCTGGCGAGTCGGTACGTTCCACCCTCCCCTTCTCTCCCGTTTCTCTTTCCTTTCAACTCGAGTTTCTTCCGCAACACACACACACACGCCTCTTATCACTGACTTTTGCTTCTTCTATTCCTCTCACAGGCTGGCTCATGGGCCCCGCCAACCTCATCAAATACGTCTCGGCGGCCCACACGCGCATCTGCTACTCGTCCGTCTCGCCGCTCCAGGAGGCCTGCGCCGTGGGCTTCGAACAGGCCGAGTCGGAGGGCTTCTGGGACAAAACCATTACCGACATGAAGTCTAAAATGGACCGCTTCAATGAGATCTGGGCCGAGCTCGACCTGCCCTACTCCGAGCCTGAAGGCGGCTACTTCGTGCTCGTCAATATGAAAAAAGTCAAGGTGCCGGCTGACTATCCCTTCCCCGAACACGTCGCGAGCAGACCGCGGGATTTCAAGCTGGCGTGGTTTTTGATCCAGGAGGTGGGCGTGGCGGCGATTCCGCCAACCGAGTTTTACACCGATGCGAATGCGCACTTGGCCGAGGATTATGTGCGGTTTGCGGTTTGCAAGGACGATGGAGTCTTGGAGGAGGCTAAGCGGAGGTTGAGGGGGCTGAAGAAGTATATGCAGTGACGGGACTAGATTTCTTCTCTTCTCTCTTCTTTTTCTTTTTCTTTTTCTTTTTTTGGTGTCTTCAAGACGGGATCGGACAAGTGGATAGAAATGTGTGGATGGAGTGGGAATATGTTTCGTCTTGCGATATTGGCTGTATGTTACAAGCTATGACAGTGATGCGGTGTCTAGTTCATCCATCTCATCGAAATGCACCACCTGTGGCGTATGGCTCTCGTTGCCGTATACATTGCCGCCGTACGACAAGTACCCCTCCACATCGGGCTTGTCGATCTTCAAAATATCCTGCGCATCGCCATGCACCCAGACGGTTTGCATACCCTGGATCATGTGCTGCAATGTATGGCAATGCACCATCCACACCCCCGGCTGCTCGACTCGGATTCTCCATACCCGCCAGCCCATCTTCTCACCTGTCTTCACAAACTTCTCGTACCTGTACAGCATTGTTGTGTCCCTTAATACGGGCTGCTTCCCCTCTAGCTTCTCTTCGACAGTATTTGGATCCCAGGCACCTTTGCCGCCGCCAACGTCGTAATGGTGGATGCCGTGGCCGTGCCAAGGGTGCGTATCTAGCATACCTCCGCCCCACCCGCTTGCGGACTTGCCGCCGAATTGCTGGAGTACAATCTCCAAGACTTCGCCGATTTTGGCAGGATACGTCCCCGTCTTGGGGTCGATGCCGCCGTTGGCCGCGGCAGCTTCGTAATTGGGTAGATAGGCAGACTGGTTTTGGTACAGGCTTACCAGGTACGGGGTTTGGGGGACGGTTGCCGGCAGAGCGTCAGCGTCCTCGGACCATGTATGGTTGTTAATCGTCCAGATGAAGTACCGATTCTCAGCGACCTGGACGTTCAGCATGACGCGTCGAGTGACTTCTACTGCCGTCGGGAAGTTGTTAGGCTCCAATGGCCGCAGAGCGTAGTCTAGATACCCGTCAATAGTTGGTGGCAGGTTCAGTGGCGGCCTTTTTGGGTTCTTGTTTGTGGCGACGGGTCGTGAAGTCATGTTGCACGCGTTTTCGTATCTAAGGACAGCATAATTCGTCACGACGCGGTTTCGATCCCTCGATTCCAGTTGTATGTAGTAATCAAGCTGACCGTCTTTCCGCAAGTCTTGGCATGATTTGGCGTGGAATAGTGCACTGTACCGCTGCCCGGAACCGATTTGTAGCAAGTCGACTGGGTACGGTTGGGTATATTCCCCGTCCGCTTCGATAATTTCTAAATTCCCGTGCTTTTCGAATCCTAGGAGCGCAAGACTGAGGGCTGTGGCGCCTACGAATCTGAATCTGTATGTCTTGCCCGGTTCGACATCAATTACGTTCAAAGCTCTCGTGGAGGGGTCGACAGCTCGATGGTTGGATATCGATTTGCCATTGATTAGCCAGCCATTTGGTTCGCCGGGCCATTTCAACGGTATTGATTCTAGGCCGTTTTTGATCTGTGTGTCCGACTGGCTCCAGTATTCCTGTAAGAATACAAGCCTTTCACCATCCGTCGTGTAAGGAGCACCGGCAGGGTCTTCGACAATAAGCGCACCAGTGGCAGTGCCAGCCTGGAATCCAACGTGAGAGTGATAATAATACGTCCCAGCGGTGCCGCTTTCTGCCTTTAATTCATAATCGAAGAAATGTTTGGGCGGAATAGGCCACTGACTGGCAAGGGGCGTACCATCGGAAAAGGGGTATGCGGCCTGGGCGAGACCGTGCCAATGCTTATAGGATGGTTAGCATCTTTGAGTCTACCTGGAAGTGGTTATATGCTTATCGCAGCGTACAATTGTTACATTGTCGTTTTCGATGTCGTTGTAGACGCGAATCCAGATCGTCTTTCGCTCAGGAATCCGTAGAGTTGGTCCGGGCAAAGAGTTGTTGACCAGTGTTGTCTCCTTATACATGCCGCCAATGCTGATATTTTGACGAGTTACACTCAACACAATGTCAGGCGTGAATGAGTCGTCATGGCTATACGCCCGCAGTGACAAGACTGGAACTGCTGCCAACGCCAGCGTAGCAACAGTTCTTCTGAGCCATAGCATGATGACTGCAATAGTTCGACCAGGTACTCTGACTAAATAAGGCGGAGCTGGACGATGCGGGATTGGAATGATCAGACCTTGATCGCAAGAGCTGACTTCACGGCCTTTATGTATGTTTTTCTCTTCAGCCCATTCCAGTCTGCTCAAGGGACACATAGGCTTAGATCCAACGGTGCCAAGGCGTCAACAACGTTTTCCGCGGCCAGAGGCAATACTATTGAGCGAATCACTCCTCATCCCTCCTCGCACAGAAAAGGCTGAGATGCGACTAAAATGTAGTGCCATGTGTCCAGGGGCTACTAGTTTCCCGTGCCGTACCCAAGACGGGGCGCCAACACCAGACTCAATAAAACAAGACATTGATCTCCGATGCGGGACCCGGTCATCTCGGGCCGCGCGAATCCATTAGCTGTGCTGTACCATGGGGAAATAAAA